CAGGGAAAAGGTAAGATAAGATAAGATAAGATAAGATTTCGTTCGGATTTTTAACCCCGGGGGGTTAGCCACCCAGGATAAGCCAAGAAAGTCAGTGCGTCATCGAGGACTGTCTAACTTATTTCCATTGGGGTCCTTAATCTTGTCCCCCAGGATGCCACCCACACCAGTCGACTAACACCCAGGTACCTATTTGCTGCTAGGTGAACAGGACAACAGGTGTAAGGAAACGTGTCGAAATGTTTCCACCCGCCGGGAATCGAACCCGGGCCCTCCGTGTGTGAAGCGGGAGCTTTAGCCACCAGGCCACCGGGCCACCACCTGACGACTCTCAGCTTAACCTGAGAAATATGCACAGGTATCACAACAAGCTTTCACTGGGACAAGCTTTATATTTCCTGTAAAGCTTTACCATGACGAACAACTCCACACACTAGTGGAGGCAGGAACCATACATAGCTTTAAGATGAGATATGATAAAGCTCATGGATCAGGGAGAGAGTGGACCTAGTAGTCACCAGTGAAGAGGAGAGGCCAGGAGCTATGACTCAATCCATGTAACCACAATTAGGTGAGTACACTGTAAAACAATGTGAAGTTATCCCTTAAAAAATGTAAAGTTATCCCTTAAAAAATGTGAAGTTATCCCTTAAAAAATGTGAAGTTATCCCTTAAAAAATGTGAAGTTATCCCTTAAAAAATGTGAAGTTATCCCTTAAAAAATGTGGTTATCCCTTAAAAAATGTGAAGTTATCCCTTAAAAAATGTAAAGTTATCCCTTAAAAAATGTGAAGTTATCCCTTAAAAAATGTGAAGTTATCCCTTAAAAAATGTGAAGTTAACCCTTAAAAAATGTGAAGTTAACCCTTAAAAAATGTGAAGTTATCCCTTAAAAAATGTAAAGTTATCCCTTAAAAAATGTGAAGTTATCCCTTAAAAAATGTGAAGTTATCCCTTAAAAAATGTGAAGTTATCCCTTAAAAAATGTGAAGTTATCCCTTAAAAAATGTGAAGTTAACCCTTAAAAAATGTGAAGTTATCCCTTAAAAAATGTGAAGTTAACCCATAGAGGGTTGTCACAGTCAACTCTTTAAGATAAGATAAGATAAGATTTCGTTCGGATTTTTAACCCCGGAGGGTTAGCCACCCAGGATAACCCAAGAAAGTCAGTGCGTCATCGAGGACTGTCTAACTTATTTCCATTGTGGTCCTTAATCTTGTCCCCCAGGATGCCACCCACACCAGTCCACTAACACCCAGGTACCTATTTGCTGCTAGGTGAACAGGACAACAGGTGTAAGGAAACGTGTCGAAATGTTTCCACCCGCCGGGAATCGAACCCGGGCCCTCCGTGTGTGAAGGGGGAGCTTTAGCCACCAGGCCACCGGGCCTTTGGAGAATCCTACATGATCTGTGTTAGTTTACGCATAGATATACGCCGTTGTTGTTTTTCGTGGGCTATGCGTTGGCGCATTACGGCGAGTGTAAATGTAGCGTCGATTCTAGTGATCGTTGGACTGTGTTTAGTGCGTCAGTCGTGAGCCAAGTGAGGATGCCTGAGGTCACTGTTCCTCACTGCTACGAGCCCCGTGTGGGCGGCTGTGAGGTCACGGTCAGTAGCACAGCTGCTGGTTCTGCCCCCACGACCGCAGTCACCGTGGTGGCCCGGTGGTCTGGTGGGTAAAGCTCCTGCTTCACACACGGAGGGCCCGGGTTCGATTCCCGGCGGGTGGAAATTCCGACACGTTTCCTTACACCTATTGTCCTGTTCACCTAGCAGCAAATAGGTACCTGGGTGTTAGTGGACTGGTGTGGGTGGCATCCTGGGGGACAAGATTAAGGACCACAATGGAAATAAGTTAGACAGTCCTCGATGACGCACTGACTTTCTTGGGTTATCCTGGGTGGCTAACCCTCCGGGGTTAAAAATCCGAACAAAATCTTATCTTATCTCTCTCTTACCATGTCAGGTTCAGGAGAGCTGCCTAAACGTGTATTGGAATGCCTAAAAGAGTCGGAGGACGACGTGGGGCAGATAGGAGCCCCCACTAAGAAGGCCAAGGAAGCTGGGGAGACTGTTGTATCTGCCGACCTGCCACTAGTTAAGATAAAATAAGATTTCGTTCGGATTTTTAACCCTGGAGGGTTAGCCACCCAGGATAACCCAAGAAAGTCAGTGCGTCATCGAGGACTGTCTAACTTATTTCCATTGGGGTCCTTAATCTTGTCCCCCAGAATGCGACCCACACCAGTCGACTAACACCCGGGTACCTATTTGCTGCTAGGTGAACAGGACAACAGGTGAAAGGAAACGTGTCGTGTTTCCACCCGCCGGGAATCGAACCCGGGCCCTCCGTGTGTGAAGCGGGAGCTTTAGCCACCAGGCCACCGGCAGCTGCTACCCGAGGAGACCCGGTAAGGGAGGAACCCTCAGGACATTGCCCCATTAGTGCACACATGCAGCTCCCTCAGATGGACATAGGAGCCATGGAAGGAAGCCAGGAGGCTGTGGCTACTCCTCAACTGGCGGAGATGGGGCCATTCCAGGTACCCACTCCAGTAGCGTCAGCCACCACGGAGGATGGGGAATGGCTGACTCCACTCGGGCACAAGCAACCATGACCTTCAACAAAATCAAGGTTCCTGATGACAGGTTTGTGAGGTATCTGGAGAGCATACCCAGCCTCAAGTTGTGATGCGAGTTCACTTTCAGGAACGAGGTTCTGGTCATTCCTCGGGACGAGGATTCATACGAGGAATTATAGAAGCTGGTTGTGTCACATCCCAGCATGGTGGAACTGGTTGTTTGGGAGAAGGTCTACAAGGGGGTGCTTATACATGTCCCTGTGCCCCTCCCACTGGACCCCATTTCGGAAGTGCCCAATATTGTCAAGGCAGAGCGACTCACTGTCAAGGTGAACAAGGGGCCCACCCGACAGGTGCTGATACACCACAAAGGACCACTCCCCACGCACCTGGACCTTGGGATCTGAGGAAGGTTCAAGATTCAGCCGTACCTGTCGGGCCCACTGCAGTACTTCAGCTGTCAGGGGTTCAATCACATTGCAGCCATCTGCCAGCAGTGCAAGAAGTGTGGATTATTATTATTATAATCAAGGGGGAAGCACTAAACCCGTAGGATTATACAGCGCCTATGGGGGGATGGAAGGCATTCAGGCTTAATTCAGGGAACTGGAACACAGATCCAATTCCCTAGATCAAGAGCCCCTCACCAGCGTCAAGGAGCCTTCCTTGAGGGGAAGAAGTGTGGAGCGTGCAGCAAGGCACACGACTCGAAGGACTGTATTGCAATCCTCAAGCAACCGACCGGCGAGGCTCTTCGGCCAGAGCTCAAGTGTGCCAATTGCTCAAAGAAGCACCATGTCTGGAACCAGAGCTGTCCTGTGATGGTTCGGCACTGGCAGCAGGTGCGTCACCGGAACGGCCTGGCAGCCACGGCAACGCCCAACCTCAGAACCACCCAGCAATAGTCAGCATGGGCTCCAACCGCGGCACCACGGATGCTACAGATGGGCAATACCAGCGAGTTCCCCGCACTGGGCTCCTAGCAGTGGCATCAGGGGCAGTCAGTGGCATGCAGTGCGGCCAACAGCGGGGCCAGACAGCAAGATGGCCAAAAAGACAGAATCACTGGGAAAAGTGGCCACAGGCCAGGAACACATACGCCGTCAATCCACGCCATCTTACCAGCAGGCCTCTTCCCAAGGGCAGGCTCCTCCTGGGAACAGCGAGAGTCAAGCAGCGGCTCCCTGCCAGGAGACCAAGAAGCCCACACTCACTCAGACTGGACCTAGGGTGCACCCAGCTTATGTGGATGCAGTGTCGACAGCTACCCAAACATACCCAGTGACCCAGCCCCAACACGAAGAGTCGTCCGACCCATCGCCTGCAAAGGTAATAGTAGACTCATTTCCCGCTCGGCTGAAGACAACCGTCCGGGTCATCTCGGAGCTCCTCTCTCGCCTGCTGCCATCGACAGAGGACGGGGGCGCTTGCAGACAGCTCCTGTTGTGGATGCTGGGCGTTGCCCTACTGAACAGGAAGGACTCAACGGAACTTCAAGCTATCATCCAGGAGTCTTTCCAGTCCGTGATGGAGGAGACCCTGGAGTCACCAACAATGGAAGACGACGAGTCCCAGGCAGAGATGGAATCAGAGGGCCACTTCTCCAGCCGTGACCTACTGTTACTTTAATAGGTACACTTGTAACATTCTGTGCTAGGTAGCTGTTAAATCAATTTTAAGTGTAATAGTAATGTAATTCTAAAGTAACACCAATGTACCACCATGGTAACACGAACGTAACACGAAAGTAACACCAATGTAACACCAACATAGCACCAACGTAACACCAACATAATACCAACATAACACCATAACATCAGCGTAACACCAACATAACACCAACAGCACCAATATAACACCAACATAGCACCAACATAACACCAACATAACACCAGCGTAACACCAACACCAACCTAATACCAACAGCACCAACATAGCACCAACATAACACCAGCGTAACACCAACAGCACCAACATAACATCAACGTAACACCAACATAACACCAACAGCACCAACATAACATCAATGTAGCACCAACATAACACCAACAGCACCAATATAACCCAACATAGCACCAACATAACACCAACATAACACCAGCGTAACACCAACACCAACATAATACCAACAGCACCAACATAGCACCAACATAACACCAGCATAACACCAACACCAACATAACACCAGTGTAACACCAACACCAACATAATACCAAGAGCACCAACATAACACCAACATAGCACCAACATAATACCAACAGCACCAACATAACACCAACATTGCACCAACACCAACATAATACCAACAGAACCAACATAACACCAACATTACACCAGCGTAACATCAACATAATACCAACAGCACCAACATAACACCAACATAACACCAACATAACACCAACATAGAGACTTACTTGGCGTGTTTGACTTCCATATGGGTCTCATACCCCTTTTTACTCTTATAGACGACGCCACAGTCGTCACAGCGGTAGAGCGCCGTAGCGTGAGTCTTGTACTTGTGACGGTACCAGTGGTTCCTGGAAGGTAGAAGTTCACCACAGAGCTTACACGTAGCTGTGCCGTTACTGTTGAGTACATAGTCCAGAGTGACGTTCTGGTCCAGGTCGCTACTCTCACACGAGTCTATGACCTGTGGAAGAGTGTAAAGCTCTGTGTAGGGTGAAAGATGGTAAGGCTCTATGTAGAAAGATGGTAAAACTCTATGCAGAGTGAAAGATTGTAAAGCTCTATGCAGAGTGAAAGATTATAAAGCTCTATGTAGAGTGAAAGATGATAAAGCTCTATGTAGAGTGAAAGATGATAAAGCTCTATGCAGAGTGAAAGATGGTAAAGCTCTATGTAGAGTGAAAGATGATAAAGCTCTATGTAGAGTGAAAGATGGTAAAGCTCTATGTAGAGTGAAAGATGGTAAAGCTCTATGCAGAGTGAAAGGTGATAAAGTTCTATGCAGAGTGAAAGATGGTAAAGCTCTATGCAGAGTGAAAGATTATAAAGCTCTATGCAGAGTGAAAGATGGTAAAGCTCTATGTAGAGTGAAAGATTGTAAAGCTCTATGTAGAGTGAAAGATGGTAAAGCTCTATGTAGAGTGAAAGATTGTAAAGCTCTATGCAGAGTGAAAGATTATAAAGCTCTATGCAGAGTGAAAGATTATAAAGCTCTATGTAGAGTGAAAGATGGTAAAGCTCTATGTAGAGTGAAAGATGATAAAGCTCTATGTAGAGTGAAAGGTGATAAAGTTCTATGCAGAGTGAAAGATGGTAAAGCTCTATGTAGAGTGAAAGATGGTAAAGCTCTATGTAGAGTGAAAGGTGATAAAGTTCTATGCAGAGTGAAAGATGGTAAAGCTCTATGTAGAGTGAAAGATGATAAAGCTCTATGCAGAGTGAAAGATGGTAAAGCTCTATGTAGAGTGAAAGATGATAAAGCTCTATGTAGAGTGAAAGATGATAAAGCTCTATGTAGAGTGAAAGATGATAAAGCTCTATGTAGAGTGAAAGATGATAAAGCTCTATGCAGAGTGAAAGATGGTAAAGCTCTATGCAGAGTGAAAGATGGTAAAGCTCTATCTAGAGTGAAAGATTGTAAAGCTCTATGCAGAGTGAAAGATGATAAAGCTCTATGTAGAGTGAAAGATGATAAAGCTCTATGCAGAGTGAAAGATGGTAAAGCTCTATGCAGAGTGAAAGATGGTAAAGCTCTATGTAGAGTGAAAGATGATAAAGCTCTATGCAGAGTGAAAGATGGTAAAGCTCTATGTAGAGTGAAAGATGGTAAAGCTCTATGCAGAGTGAAAGATGGTAAAGCTCTATGTAGAGTGAAAGATGATAAAGCTCTATGTAGAGTGAAAGATGATAAAGCTCTATGTAGAGTGAAAGATGATAAAGCTCTATGTAGAGTGAAAGATGATAAAGCTCTATGCAGAGTGAAAGATGGTAAAGCTCTATGCAGAGTGAAAGATGGTAAAGCTCTATCTAGAGTGAAAGATTGTAAAGCTCTATGCAGAGTGAAAGATGATAAAGCTCTATGTAGAGTGAAAGATGATAAAGCTCTATGCAGAGTGAAAGATGGTAAAGCTCTATGCAGAGTGAAAGATGGTAAAGCTCTATGTAGAGTGAAAGATGATAAAGCTCTATGCAGAGTGAAAGATGGTAAAGCTCTATGTAGAGTGAAAGATGGAAAGCTCTATGAGAGTGAAAGATGGTAAAGCTCTATGTAGAGTGAAAGATGGTAAAGCTCTATGTAGAGTGAAAGATGGTAAAGCTCTATGTAGAGTGAAAGATGGTAAAGCTCTATGCAGAGTGAAAGATGGTAAAGCTCTATGTAGAGTGAAAGATTGTAAAGCTCTATGCAGAGTGAAAGATGGTAAAGCTCTATGTAGAGTGAAAGATGGTAAAGCTCTATGCAGAGTGAAAGATGGTAAAGCTCTATGTAGAGTGAAAGATGTAAAGCTCTATGCAGAGTGAAAGATGTAAAGCTCTATGAGAGTGAAAGATGGTAAAGCTCTATGCAGAGTGAAAGATGGTAAAGCTCTATGTAGAGTGAAAGATTGTAAAGCTCTATGCAGAGTGAAAGATGGCAAAGTTCTACGTAGAGTGAAGGATTGTAAAGCTCTATGCAAAGTTAAAGATGGTAAAGCTCTAATGTAGAGTGAATGATGATAAAGCTCTATGCATGGTAAGATGCGATAGCTCTATGTAGGTGGAAGATGGTAAAGCTCTATAAAGAGTGGAAAGATAGCAAAGCTCTGCGCAAAGCTAAATATTGTAAAGCTCTACTACTGTGAAAATAGTAAAGCTTTAGAGTGGAAAAGCTCTACACAGAGTAAATTATGGTAAGGCTCTATCAGAGAAGTAAAGTATAACAAAATCTAGTAATAAAAGCAGTAAAGCTTTACAATAAAGGTATTGTTATAAAGCAATAAAGTATAGAGTAATAAAGGTAGCAAATAAAGTCTATTAAATAAAGCCCATGGTAGTAAATAAAGCTTATGGTAGTAAATAAAGCTTATGGTAGTAAATAAAGCTTATGGTAGTAAATAAAGCCTATGGTAGAAAATAAAGCTTATGGTAGTAAATAAAGCTTATGGTAGTAAATAAAGCTTATGGTAGTAAATAAAGCCTATGGTAGAAAATAAAGCCTATGGTAGAAAATAAAGCCTATGGTAGAAAATAAAGCCTATGGTAGTAAATAAAGCCCATGGTAGAAAATAAAGCCCATGGTAGTAAATAAAGCCCATGGTAGTAAATAAAGCTTATGGCAGTAAATAAAGCCTATGGTAGAAAATAAAGCATGGTAGAAAATAAAGCCTATGGTAGAAAATAAAGCCTATGGTAGTAAATAAAGCCTATGGTAGAAAATAAAGCCTATGGTAGAAAATAAAGCCTATGGTAGAAAATAAAGCCTATGGTAGTAAATAAAGCCCATGGTAGAAAATAAAGCCCATGGTAGTAAATAAAGCCCATGGTAGTAAATAAAGCTTATGGCAGTAAATAAAGCCTATGGTAGAAAATAAAGCCTATAGTAGAAAATAAAGCCTATGGTAGAAAATAAAGCCTATGGTAGTAAATAAAGCCAATGGTAGAAAATAAAGCCTATGGTAGAAAATAAAGCCCATGGTAGTAAATAAAGCCCATGGTAGTAAATAAAGCCCATGGTAGTAAATAAAGCCCATGGTAGAAAATAAAGCCCATGGTAGTAAATAAAGCTTATGATAGTAAATAAATCCTATGGTAGAAAATAAAGCACATGGTAGAAAATAAAGCCCATGATAGAAAATAAAGCCTATGGTAGTAAATAAAGCCCATGGTAGTAAATAAAGTCCATGGTAGTAAATAAAGCCTATGGTAGAAAATAAAACCCATGGTAGAAAATAAAGCCTATGGTAGTAAATAAAGCCTATGGTAGGAAATAAAGCCCATGGTAGGAAATAAAGTCCGTGGTAGTAAATAAAGCCTATGGTAGTAAATAAAGCCCATGGTAGTAAATAAAGCCTATGGTAGTAAATAAAGTCCATGGTAGTAAATAAAACCCATGGTAGTAAATAAAGCCCATGGTAGTAAATAAAGCCTATGGTAGTAAATAAAGCCCATGGTAGTAAATAAAGCCCATGGTAGTAAATAAAGCCCATGGTAGTAAATAAAGCCATGGTAGTAAATAAAGCCTATGGTAGAAAATAAAGCCCATGGTAGTAAATAAACCCCATGGTAGTAAATAAAGCCCATGGTAGTAAATAAAGCCCATGGTAGTAAATAAAGCCTATGGTAGAAAATAAAGCACATGGTAGAAAATAAAGCCCATGGTAGAAAATAAAGCCTATGGTAGTAAATAAAGCCCATGGTAGTAAATAAAGTCCATGGTAGTAAATAAAGCCTATAGTAGAAAATAAAGCCCATGGTAGAAAATAAAGCCCATGGTAGAAAATAAAGCCTATGGTAGTAAATAAAGCCTATGGTAGTAAATAAAGCCATGTAGTAAATAAAGCCTATGGTAGAAAATAAAGCCCATGGTAGAAAATAAAGCCTATGGTAGTAAATAAAGCCTATGGTAGTAAATAAAGCCCATGGTAGTAAATAAAGTCCGTGGTAGTAAATAAAGCCTATGGTAGTAAATAAAGCCCATGGTAGTAAATAAAGCCTATGGTAGTAAATAAAGTCCATGGTAGTAAATAAAGCCCATTGTAGTAAATAAAGCCCATGGTAGTAAATAAAGCCTATGGTAGTAAATAAAGCCCATGGTAGTAAATAAAGCCCATGGTAGTAAATAAAGCCCATGGTAGTAAATAAAGCCCATGGTAGTAAATAAAGCCCATGGTAGTAAATAAAGCCCATGGTAGTAAATAAAGCCCATGGTAGTAAATAAAGCCTATGGTAGAAAATAAAGCCCATGGTAGTAAATAAAGCCCATGGTAGTAAATAAAGCCCATGGTAGTAAATAAAGCCCATTGTAGTAAATAAAGCCTATGGTAGTAAATAAAGCCCATGGTAGTAAATAAAGCCCATGGTAGTAAATAAAGCCTATGGTAGTAAATAAAGCCTATGGTAGTAAATAAAGCCCATGGTAGTAAATAAAGCCTATGGTAGTAAATAAAGTCCATGGTAGTAAATAAAGCCCATTGTAGTAAATAAAGCCCATAGTAGTAAATAAAGCCTATGGTAGTAAATAAAGCCCATGGTAGTAAATAAAGCCCATGGTAGTAAATACAGCCCATGGTAGTAAATAAAGCCCATGGTAGTAAATAAAGCCTATGGTAGTAAATAAAGCCCATGGTAGTAAATAAAGCCCATGGTAGTAAATAAAGCCTATGGTAGAAAATAAAGCCCATGGTAGCAAATAAAGCCCATGGTAGTAAATAAAGCCCATGGTAGTAAATAAAGCCCATGGTAGTAAATAAAGCCTATGGTAGTAAATAAAGCCCATGGTAGTAATAAAGCCCATGGTAGTAAATAAAGCCTATGGTAGTAAATAAAGCCTATGGTAGTAAATAAAGCCCATGGTAGTAAATAAAGCCTATGGTAGAAAATAAAGCGCATGGTAGTAAATAAAGCCCATGGTAGTAAATAAAGCCCATGGTAGAAAATAAAGTCCATGGTAGTAAATAAAGCCCATGATAGTAAATAAAGCCATGGTAGTAAATAAAGCCCATGGTAGTAAATAAAGCCCATGGTAGTAAATAAAGTCCTATGGTAGAAATAAAGCCCATGGTAGTAAATAAAGCCCATGGTAGTAAATAAAGCCTATGGTAGTAAATAAAGCCCATGGTAGTAAATAAAGCCTATGGTAGAAAATAAAGCCCATGGTAGTAAATAAAGCCTATGGTAGTAAATAAAGCCCATGGTAGTAAATAAAGCCTATGGTAGTAAATAAAGCCTATGGTAGAAAATAAAGCCCATGGTAGTAAATAAAGCCCATGGTAGTAAATAAAGCCCATGGTAGTAAATAAAGCCTATGGTAGTAAATAAATCCTATGGTAGTAAATAAAGCCTATGGTAGAAAATAAAGCCCATGGTAGTAAATAAAGCCCATGGTAGTAAATAAAGCCCATGGTAGTAAATAAAGCCCATGGTAGTAAATAAAGCCCATGGTAGTAAATAAAGCCTATGGTAGTAAATAAAGCCCATGGTAGTAAATAAAGCCCATGGTAGTAAATAAAGCCTATGGTAGTAAATAAAGCCCATGGTAGTAAATAAAGCCCATGGTAGTAAATAAAGCCCATGGTAGTAAATAAAGCCTATGTAGTAAATAAAGCCTATGGAGTAAATAAAGCCCATGGTAGTAAATAAAGCCTATGGTAGTAAATAAAGCCCATGGTAGCAAATAAAGCCTATGGTAGTAAATAAAGCCCATGGTAGTAAATAAAGCCTATGGTAGTAAATAAAGCCATGGTAGTAAAATAAAGCCCATGGTAAGTAAATAAAGCCCATGGTAGTAAATAAAGCCCATGGTAGTAAATAAAGCCCATGGTAGTAAATAAAGCCCATGGTAGTAAACAAAGCCCATGGTAGTAAATAAAGCCTATGGTAGTAAATAAATCCTATGGTAGTAAATAAAGCCTATGGTAGAAAATAAAGCCCATGGTAGTAAATAAAGCCCATGGTAGTAAATAAAGCCCATGGTAGTAAATAAAGCCTATGGTAGTAAATAAAGCCCATGGTAGTAAATAAAGCCTATGGTAAATAAAGCCCATGGTAGTAAATAAAGCCCATGGTAGTAAATAAAGCCCATGGTAGTAAATAAATCCTATGGTAGTAAATAAACCATTGTAGAAAATAAAGCCTATGGTAGTAAATAAAGCCCATGGTAGTAAATAAAGCCCATGGTAGTAAATAAAGCCTATGGTAGTAAATAAAGCCCATGGTAGTAAATAAAGCCCATGGTAGTAAATAAAGCCCATGGTAGTAAATAAAGCCCATGGTAGTAAATAAAGCCTATGGTAGTAAATAAAGCCTATGGTAGTAAATAAAGCCCATGGTAGTAAATAAAGCCTATGGTAGAAATAAAGCCCATGGTAGTAAATAAAGCCTATGGTAGTAAATAAAGCCCATGGTAGTAAATAAAGCCTATGGTAGTAAATAAAGCCTATGGTAGAAAATAAAGCCCATGGTAGTAAATAAAGCCCATGGTAGTAAATAAAGCCCATGGTAGTAAATAAAGCCTATGGTAGTAAATAAATCCTATGGTAGTAAATAAAGCCTATGGTAGAAAATAAAGCCCATGGTAGTAAATAAAGCCATGGTATAAATAAAGCCCATGGTAGTAAATAAAGCCTATGGTAGTAAATAAAGCTCATGGTAGTAAATAAAGCCTATGGTAGTAAATAAAGCCCATGGTAGTAAATAAAGCCCATGGTAGTAAATAAAGCCTATGGTAGTAAATAAAGCCCATGGTAGTAAATAAAGCCCATGGTAGTAAATAAAGCCCATGGTAGTAAATAAAGCCTATGGTAGTAAATAAAGCCTATGGTAGTAAATAAAGCCCATGGTAGTAAATAAAGCCTATGGTAGTAAATAAATCCCATGGTAGTAAATAAAGCCCATGGTAGTAAATAAAGCCCATGGTAGTAAATAAAGCCCATGGTAGTAAATAAAGCCCATGGTAGTAAATAAAGCCCATGGTAGTAAATAAAGCCCATGGTAGTAAATAAAGCCCATGGTAGTAAATAAAGCCTATGGTAGTAAATAAAGCCTATGGTAGTAAATAAAGCCCATGGTAGTAAATAAAGCCTATGGTAGAAAATAAAGCCCATGGTAGTAAATAAAGCCTATGGTAGTAAATAAAGCCCATGGTAGTAAATAAAGCCTATGGTAGTAAATAAAGCCTATGGTAGAAAATAAAGCCCATGGTAGTAAATAAAGCCCATGGTAGTAAATAAAGCCCATGGTAGTAAATAAAGCCTATGGTAGTAAATAAAATCCTATGGTAGTAAATAAAGCCTATGGTAGAAAATAAAGCCCATGGTAGTAAATAAAGCCCATGGTAGTAAATAAAGCCCATGGTAGTAAATAAAGCCTATGGTAGTAAATAAAGCCCATGGTAGTAAATAAAGCCTATGGTAGTAAATAAAGCCCATGGTAGTAAATAAAGCCCATGGTAGTAAATAAAGCCTATGGTAGTAAATAAAGCCCATGGTAGTAAATAAAGCCCATGGTAGTAAATAAAGCCCATGGTAGTAAATAAAGCCTATGGTAGTAAATAAAGCCCATGGTAGTAAATAAAGCCCATGGTAGTAAATAAAGCCTATGGTAGTAAATAAAGCCCATGGTAGTAAATAAAGCCCATGGTAGTAAATAAAGCCCATGGTAGTAAATAAAGCCCATGGTAGTAAATAAAGCCAATGGTAGTAAATAAAGCCCATGGTAGTAAATAAAGCCTATGGTAGTAAATAAAGCCCATGGTAGTAATAAACCCAGGATAAATAAAGCCCATGGTAGTAAATAAAGCCCATGGTAGATAAAAAAAAAGCCATGGTAGTAAATAAAGCCCATATGATGTAGTAAATAAAGCCCATGGTAGTAAATAAAGCCCATGGTAGTAAATAAAGCCCATGGTAGTAAATAAAGCCCATGGTAGTAAATAAAGCCCATGGTAGTAAATAAAGCCCATGGTAGTAAATAAAGCCCATGGTAGTAAATAAAGCCCATGGTAGTAAATAAAGCCCATGGTAGTAAAATAAAGCCTATGGTAGTAAATAAAGCCCATGGTAGTAAATAAAGCCTATGGTAGTAAATAAAGCCCCATGGTAGTAAATAAAGCCCATGGTAGTAAATAAAGCCCTGTAGGTAATAAAGCCAATAAATAAAGCCCATGGTAGTAAATAAAGCCCATGGTAGTAAATAAAGCCCATGGTAGTAAATAAAGCCCATGGTAGTAAATAAAGCCATGGTAGTAAATAAAGCCCATGGTAGTAAATAAAGCCCATGGTAGTAAATAAAGCCCATGGTAGTAAATAAAGCCATGGTAGTAAATAAAGCCCATGGTAGTAAATAAAGCCCATGGTAGTAATATAAAGCCATGGTAGTAAATAAAGCCCATGGTAGTAAATAAAGCCCATGGTAGTAAATAAAGCCCATGGTAGTAAATAAAGCCCATGGTAGTAAATAAAGCCCATGGTAGTAAATAAAGCCCATGGTAGTAAATAAAGCCCATGGTAGTAAATAAAGCCCATGGTAGTAAATAAAGCCCATGGTAGTAAATAAAGCCCATGGTAGTAAATAAAGCCTATGGTAGTAAATAAAGCCATGGTAGTAAATAAAGCCCATGGTAGTAAATAAAGCCCATGGTAGTAAATAAAGCCTATGGTAGTAAATAAAGCCCATGGTAGTAAATAAAGCCCATGGTAGTAAATAAAGCCCATGGTAGTAAATAAAGCCCATGGTAGTAAATAAAGCCCATGGTAGTATATAAAGCCCATGGTAGTAAATAAAGCCCATGGTAGTAAATAAAGCCCATGGTAGTAAATAAAGCCCATGGTAGTAAATAAAGCCCATGGTAGTAATAATATTCAATATTAATAAAGCATAATAATATATAAAGTTCCCCAGGATAAAGTTGTGGTAACTGACCAGGTCAAGTGGCACTTGTTGTATGGGTGCCAGGAGTGATGGCAGCGTGGGCGTGGTCAGCAGCGGCGTGGGCGTGGTGGCAGGTGTCACCGCAGGCGTGGAACTAGGTGTGTTGGGGGTGGGGGTGGGCGTGGGTCTCTCCTGTTTGATGGGCGTGGATCCTCTCACCACGCCACCCTCGGCCGTCCAGATGTCCGGGACGCAACACACGTCTGCAACACACGACGCTGATTATTGCAATTTGTAGGCTTAGGCCTACCTCAGCTTATTTTTAGGCTGATACTCCTTCTCAGCTTTATTAATAAGGTAGATATTGGCATTCTAACTTAGTTAAAAGCGTGAACCTTTAATGGGAAGCTTGTTTCTAAGCTTTGGTATAAGCTGGGCTGCCCAGGATGCCACCCATAACAGTCAACTAACACCCAGATACCTATTTACTGCTAGGTGAACAGTGGCAGCAGGTGTAAGGTGACTTGCCCATACGTCTCACCCTGCCCAGGATGCCACCCACAACACTCAACTAACACCCAGATACCTATTTACTGCTAGGTGAACAGTGGCAGCAGGTGTAAGGTGACTTGCCCATACGTCTCACCCTGCCCAGGATGCCACCCATAACAGTCAACTAACACCCACATACCTATTTACTGCTATGTGAACAGTGGCAGCAGGTGTAAGGTGACTTGCCCATATGTCTCACCCTGCCCAGGATGCCACCCACAACACTCAACTAACACCCAGGTACCTATTTACTGCTAGGTGAACAGTGGCAGCAGCTGTAAGGTGACTTGCCCATACGTCTCACCCTGCCCAGGATGCCACCCACAACAGTCAACTAACACCCAGGTACCTATTTACTGCTAGGTGAACAGTGGCAGCAGGTGTAAGGTGACTTGCCCATACGTCTCACCCTGCCCAGGATGCCACCCACAACACTCAACTAACACCCAGATACCTATTTACTGCTAGGTGAACAGTGGCAGCAGGTGTAAGGTGACTTGCCCATACGTCTCACCCTGCCCAGGATGCCACCCATAACAGTCAACTAACACCCACATACCTATTTACTGCTATGTGAACAGTGGCAGCAGGTGTAAGGTGACTTGCCCATATGTCTCACCCTGCCCAGGATGCCACCCACAACACTCAACTAACACCCAGGTACCTATTTACTGCTAGGTGAACAGTGGCAGCAGGTGTTAGGTGACTTGCCCATACGTCTCACCCTGCCCAGGATGCCACCCACAACACTCAACTAACACCCAGGTACCTGTTTACTGTTAAGTGAACAGTGGCAGCAGGTGTAATGTGACTTGCTCATACGTCTCACCCTGCCCAGGATGCCTCCCACACCAGTCCACTAACACCCAGGATGCCACCCACACCAGTCGACTAACACCCAGGATGCCACCCACACCAGTCCACTAACACCCAGGATGCCACCCACACCAGTCCACTTACACCCAGGATGCCACCCACACCAGTCCACTAACATCCAGGTACCTATTTGCTAGGTGAGCATGACAACAGGTGTAAGGACACGTCGAAATGTTTCCACCCCGCTGGGAATCGAACCCTGCCCCTCCGTGTGTGAAGCCAGAGCCACCAGGCCACCGGGACTTGTTTATTGGTGTGTACCAGCTAAATATTTAATCTCCCTTTAATTATTCATATCCTACAAGGGATAGAATGACAAAAAAACACTGAATATAGGAAATAAAACACAAGCCATTTCGTGTGTTTAGACACATCTTCAGAGGAATACGTGTGTGAGCACATGAGAGCCTTAGGTGTTCTCACTGTCATTCTTGTGTTCTGTTTACCTCGTTCACTCCATCAGGGTGTTACCTAAACTCTTGTCTCAGGTGTTAGTACCTGTTTACACTGTTGTATTTTGTGATATTTGTAGTCAGGTGTTATACTGTGATATCTTCCCTGGGCTGGAATATATTCCAGGTACTGTGATATCTTCCCTGGGCTGGAATATATTCCAGGTACTGTGATATCTTCCCTGGGCTGTAATATATTCCAGGTACTGTGATATCTTCCCTGGGCTGGAATATATACCAGGTACTGTGATATCTTCCCTGGGCTGGAATATATACCAGGTACTGTGATATCTTCCCTGGGCTGGAATATATACCAGGTACTGTGATATCTTCCCTGGGCTGGAATATATACCAGGTACTGTGATATCTTCCCTGGGATGGAATATATTCCAGGTACTGTGATATCTTCCCTGGGCTGGAATATATACCAGGTACTGTGATATCTTCCCTGGGCTGGAATATATACCAGGTACTGTGATATCTTCCCTGGGCTGGAATATATACCAGGTACTGTGATATCTTCCCTGGGCTGGAATATATACCAGGTACTGTGATATCTTCCCTGGGCTGGAATATATTCCAGGTACTGTGATATCTTCCCTGGGCTGGAATATATTCCAGGTACTGTGATATCTTCCCTGGGCTGGAATATATACCAGGTACTGTGATATCTTCCCTGGGCTGGAATATATACCAGGTACTGTGATATCTTCCCTGGGCTGGAATATATACCAGGTACTGTGATATCTTCCCTGGGATGGAATATATTCCAGGTACTGTGATATCTTCCCTGGGCTGGAATATATACCAGGTACTGTGATATCTTCCCTGGGCTGGAATATATACCAGGTACTGTGATATCTTCCCTGGGCTGGAATATATACCAGGTACTGTGATATCTTCCCTGGGATGGAATATATTCCAGGTACTGTGATATCTTCCCTGGGCTGGAATATATACCAGGTACTGTGATATCTTCCCTGGGCTGGAATATATACCAGGTACTGTGATATCTTCCCTGGGCTGGAATATATACCAGGTCGCCTTCAACTTGTTAAAATACAGATACAGGGAATTCTTCACTAGCTAACCCTTGGGCATGATTTACCCTTGGGCATATCTTACCCTTGGGCACGACCTACCCTTGGGCATATCTTACCCTTGGGCATGACTTACCCTTGGGCATATCTTACCCTTGATAATGACTTACCCTTGGGCATATCTTACCCTTGGCCATGACTTACTCTTGGGTATATCTTACCCTTGGGCACGACTTACCCTTTGGCATATCTAACCCTTGGGCATGACTTATCCTTGGGCATATCTTACCCTTAAGCATATCTTACCCTTAGGCATATCTTACCCTTGGGCATATCTTACCCTTAGGCATATCTTATCAATGGGCATATCTTACCCTTGGGCATATCTTACCCTTGGGCATGACTTACCCTTGGGCATATCTTACCCTAGGGCATATCTTGCCCTTGGGCATACCTTACCCTTGGGCATATATTACCCTTGGGCATATCTTACCCTTGGGCATATCTTACCCTAGGGCATATCTTACCCTTGGGAATATCTTACCCTTGGGCATATCTTACCCTTGGGCATATCTTACCCTTGGGCATATCTTACCCTTGGGCATATCTTATCCTTGGGAATATCTTACCCTTGGGCATATCTTACCCTTGGGCATATCTTACCCTTGGGCATATCTTACCCTTGGGCATATCTTACCCTTGGGCATATCTTACCCTTGGGGATGAAGTACCCTTGGGCATATCTTACCCTTGGGCATATCTTACCCTTGGGCATATCTTACCCTTGGGAATATGTTACCCTTGGGCATATCTTACCCATGGGCATATCTTACCCTTGGGCATGTCTTACCCTTGGGAATATCTTACCCTTGGGCATATCTTGCCCTTGGAAATATCTTACCATTGGGCCTATCTTACCCTTGGGCATGACCTACCCTTGGGCATGACCTACCCTTGGGCATGACCTACCCTTGGGCATGACCTACCCTTGGGCACGTCCTACTTCCACATTGGCCAAATATAATTCCACCTACGACTGTTGTACCTCACCTGCCGACAGTATATAAGCTACTTCTGGAGTTTACCTGGAGAGAGTTCCGGGGGTCAACGCCCCCGCGGCCCGGTTTGTGACCAGGCCTCATGGTGTATCAGCGCCTGATCAACCAGGCTGTTACTACTGGCTGCACGCAATCTAACGTACGAACCACAGCCCGCCTGGTAAGGTACCGACTTTAGATGCTTGTCCAGTGTCTGCTTGAAGATAGCCAGGGGTCTATTGGCAATCCCCCTTATGCTGTACACTTTTCAAGATCGATGGACTGACCACAACGCCTCAAGGTCGAGGGACAGATTACCTCCTCCTCCTGTTATTCACCATTCTCCTTTGTATGGACTGATGAAACCACTGAGTGGCGAGTGTTGCACATGTGTACTGGAGGAGACACTAGTGTAGTGGAGGAGACACTTGTGTAGTGGAGGAGACACTTGTGTAGTGGAGGAGACACTTGTGTACTGGAGGAGACACTTGTGTAGTGGAGGAGACACTTGTGTACTGGAGGAGACACTTGTGTAGTGGAGGAGACACTTGTGTACTGGAGGAGACACTTGTGTACTGGAGGAGACACTTGTGTAGTGGAGGAGACACTTGTGTAGTGGAGGAGACACTTGTGTAGTGCAGGAGACACTTGTGTACTGGAGGAGACACTTGTATAGTGGAGGAGACACTTGTGTAGTGGAGGAGACACTTGTGTAGTGCAGGAGACACTTGTGTAGTGGAGGAGACACTTGTGTAGTGGAGGAGACACTTGTGTAGTGGAGGAGACACTTGTGTAGTGGAGGAGACACTTGTGTAGTGGAGGAGACACTTGTGTACTGGAGGAGACACTTGTGTACTGGAGGAGACACTTGTGTAGTGGAGGAGACACTTGTGTAGTGGAGGAGACACTTGTGTAGTGGAGGAGACACTTGTGTAGTGGAGGAGACACTTGTGTAGTGGAGGAGACACTTGTGTAGTGGAGGAGACACTTGTGTAGTGGAGGAGACACTTGTGTAGTGGAGGAGACACTTGTGTAGTGGAGGAGACACTTGTGTACTGGAGGAGACACTTGTGTAGTGGAGGAGACACTTGTGTAGTGGAGAGAACACTTGTGTAGTGGTGGAGACGCTAGTGTAGTGGAGGAGACGCTTGTGTAGTGGAGGTGACGATTGAGTACTGGAGGAGGGCACTTGTGTACTGGAGGAGACACTTGTGTACTGGAGGAGACACTTGTGTAGTGGAGGAGACACTTGTGTAGTGGAGGAGACACTTGTGTAGTGGAGGAGACACTTGTGTAGTGGAGGAGA